TGATATTGGTTACACAAAGTTGATCTACAATCTATTTTATATGAATTTGGAAATAGTTACACCCTACCCTTAAACTTTAATTGAAAATATATTAACAATCTTTTAACCAAATTTGATAAGCTTTTTTTTTTTGATTGAAAAAATTATCAAAAGTTAAATAAAAAAAGTTTATCAAATTTGGTTAAGTAAATGGCAAGATATTTTCAATCAAAGTTTAAAATAATTCAATTTTGATAATCTCTACAAGTAAAAGAAAAAAAGTTTATTGAATTTAACTAGGTGGGTATAGGGATTATAAAGTCAGTTTAAGTCTAGTCTTGGTTTTAGAACTTGTAAGTCCTACTACATGAATCTAAGAACCAGGTCCTTATATAATAAGTTCTAGAATTTAGGTCTAACCAAAATTAATTCAGAATTAATATTTCTTGAACTCAATCCCAATACCTTCTACCCATTTTAAAATTCTTTGTTTATTGTAAATGCTAATTAGTTGAAAGACATTTTTATTATATATAGTATATACTAATATTATAACATAGCATTATAACTTGTATTAGTTTTATCAATAGTATATATAGATATAGTATACCTATCAATAGCTTAAATTGGATTGAACATATTTACTGTTTTATTACTATATAATATATTTTATATTAGGACCTATGAACCTAGGTCCTAAAAAATTGGGACCTAGTCTTTAAAAACCAGGTCCCAAAACCAGGTCCTAGAGTCCCGGACTTAAGGACTTACCATCCCTAGGTGGGTGCCAAGATATCTTCGAACAAAGTTTAAAAACAATCTTCAACACAACTTCTATCCAAATTTTTACAAAAACTTTGATCGAAGATATCTTGGCACCCACTTCGATAAACTCTTTTTTCTTTTAATTTTAGAAATCACCAGAATTTGAATAAAAAAAAGCTCATCAAATTTAGTCAGGTGGGTGGTGAGATATCTTCAATCAAAGTTTAAAAAACGCAGCTTCTATTTGATAGACGTCCAAATTTTTTACAAAACTTTGATCGAATATATCTCAGCACCCACCTGACCAAATTCGATGAGCTTTTTTTTCTTTTAATTGTAAAAATCACCAAATCGAATAAAAAAATCTTCATCGAATTTGTTCAAGTGGGTGTCGAGATATTTTCGATCAAAGTCTAAAAATAATCTTCTATTTAATAGACGTCCAAATTTTTACAAAACTTTGAAGATATCTCGCCACCCACCTGACCAAATTCAATGAACTATTTTTTATTCAACTTCTGGTGACTTCTACAATTAAAAGAAGAATAGTCATCGAATTTTGTTAGAAGGTTGTCGATATATCTTCGATTGAAGTTTAATAAATAATTTTTTAGTTCTATTTTGATAATAGCTTAGTATATAACAACATACAGCTACTGCGATTCTATTTTGGTATCATGCAAATAGAAAAAATCATGAATCTGCTAAATTCAATTCCTCACCATAATGAAATGCGCCACAATCATCATGTAAATGGAAAGTAGTTTCTTGTATGGGACGTCACCATATCATGTATAACGACAATACATTAAAATGTAAACCTCCGCTACGCTTCGGACAATTAGAAAGATTTTTTTTAAATGGTTTAATTTTAATGGTAGACCAAAAGTGAATTTACAGTGAATTCGGATTGCATGAAATAGTTTACAAAATTAAGGGTATAGATAATTAAAATTGCGGACCTCAAATTTTCCTAAATCGTATTAGCTGAATAAATTGTAAATGTTTTGAATGCATTAAACATTAAACAAAAAATCAAAAAATCATGCTATTATATATCTCCTGTTCTATGATTCTTCAGCTTTTGACGAAAAATAAACAGTAACAATACTAAACTATTATCAGCTAGAGGTTAATTCTTTATTAAGAACGCTCTAATGTCGCAATAGCCTTTTTTGATAATTATGACAAGTGAATCCCATTTCCTGTTTGTATCTTCTAAATGCTTCTCGTATATGATCAGGTGAAAGTGGACCTTCTGAACCCCACTCTTTTTTAATGTCCAGCGCTTTTTTAAAATCATAGAAATTAGTTATATGCGTAAACGCAATTAAAATATAATTTATTATTATAATATATAATAATACCTTTCTCAACGATTTCTCCGATAAAGATCTTGGAAAATCCAGCTACTACGATTGAAATATTATTTGAACATGGTTGTCCCAGGATACCACTTACCAACTATCAATAAATATTATGTGAGCATAAAATTGTAAAAATAAAGAAATGAATGGCTCTAACGTGAGTCTTAACTAGTTAATACCTTTTTGACATTTGGTTTACTCAAAGCCGAACGTCTGTACACTTCAAATCGTTCAGTTTGCTCTTTCGAGAAAGCTTTTAGCAACATACTTGAACAACATCGATTCATTAATATCTTTAATAGATTTCATAAATTTCTACACCATCTCAAAGCAAAAGCTCACTTGTGTTGTTCATAGACTCGCGAACGCATTTGAGCACGCTGTAAATCCGATTCCGCGGTTGCGCTAACTTCATCATCTTCATCGTCGTCGTCATCCTCTACAGGTTTTACATCTTTATTCGATTTTTCAAAATCAGTATCGGTTATTTCTTCATCCCGCCTAATATATTGATCAATTTCTTCACCGGGAGTTTGTGGAGCGAAATCTCTAGGAGTTGAAGGAGTGACATTTGAAGCAGAAGTTGTTGCGACTGAATGAGCACTAGTACCATCTAAATGTTCTAACATAAGAGACCCAGAAGATTGTTGACGTTGTAGACTTGGTTTACGACCACGGGTACTACCACCTCTACCACCTCTACCACCTCTGCCGGTGCCCCGTGTAGAAGTATCGCTTTTTCCAGTTTTCGTAGCATTACTAACACTATTACGTTTTGTGACTCGACCACCCGCGATTGGAGGCGCAGTATGTGATTTTGTGGCCTTTGGACGCCTTGGAGTTTTAGTCCCCCCAGTGGCAGAACCCTTTCGTTGTATATAAGGTGAAATCAAAGGAGGTGAATTCATCAGTTCAGAGTTAACGAATAAACAAAAATATTTCTATGGTGCAAGATGAAACCTATATTTGATATCACGTGATATAAGTGGCCAAAAATTTTTTAGGTAGGTCCCATAAAATTTAAGAATTTGAGCAAAGATATCTCAATAAATCTTTTTTTTTTATTTTGATTCTACAGTTCTGTAGAATCAAAGAATGATTATTTGGCCGATTCGATGTTTTTAATTCAGCAGTGATTAATTCAGCAGTGATAAACTTTTGATTTGGGAGTGATAAGTAATACAATAATATATATAATGATTGTATTCTGAACGATACATATAGGATAACTTTCTCGTGATTGGTAGATCACATGAAATTGAATAATATGTTATGATTGGACATTTGCGCAAC